TCCCTAATTTCTCCAGGTAGTGAGTTCCAGAGTCGGGGGAGCTCTGAACTTTCTTCCAACCATAGGATCCTATGACTGTAAAACTATTAATATCTATGAGGCAGCATGGCCATTTGTTGGGAGGGCTTTCATTGTGTCTTCCTTTGTGGCCGAATGGGGTTGGACTAGATGTCCTTTGGGGGACCCTTCAGACCATAGGGTTTTCTATTATTCCCCAATAAATAAGATAAACAAAGGGAACCATTGCTGTTTTTGCCAAAGTTTCAGAAAGTCCTGGCTTCCTTTGTTACAGGCCGAAGGAGCGCTGCGGGAAGAGTGCATATGGAGATTGCAGCAGCTGCAAGAAATGGGGCGCCGGGAGCGGCTCATCAGGTCGGACATGGATCTGGCTGTGACACAGGTACGGGCGGAAGCGACACTTAGATTGCAATAAGCAAGGGAAGCAAATCAAATCATTTGTTTCAGTCATAGACCAGCACAGGAAGTAAAAGTCACAGTTTCATACAAACTTGGTATGTTTAGTACACTAAAAATATAAATATAAATACTGAAGCACAATAGTAGGGCTGGGCGGTTTCGTTTCGTTAATTCGTAATTCGTTAAAAATTCGTTTTTTTTTTAACGAAGCGATAACGAACCATTCTGGAGCAACTTAAAAACGAAACGAATTTTTCAATTCGTTTCGTAAATGCTTCGTATTTCGTTATGTATTCGTTTCGTTATTGGTTTGAGGTCGTTTCGTTATTATTTCCGCATGTCTGGGGCAAGTTTTATAGTTGTTTTTTGTTTAATTAGTGAAAAAAAATTATAATATCACACCAACAGTCAACAACAGAGGGAGAGGGAAGCTTCAGAAGTTTTTTTAGCGTATTGCGCGATCGCAGCCGCCATTAACGAATCGATTCGTTATTGTTTCGTTATTGTTTTGTAATTTTTTTACCATTTACGAAATTTCGTAAATATCGAACTTTTTTTAAGGAAAATTTTGGAATTCTTTTAAATATCGAAACGCAAAAAACCCCAAAAAACGAATCGATTTTAGAAACAAATTTTTCCGTTGTTACCCAGGCCTACACAATAGGGGTGAGGATCATGTAACCCATCTATTGAGTGTCACGTTGCCAGGGCTCTGCCTTATTTAGGTAGAGATGAATCAAACTCCCAGTTTTATCGAACAGTTTAATTAAAACAGCACTTATTTATTTATTTATTTATTTATTCAACTTGTATACCGCTACTCCCAGATTAAAACAATACAATTAGCTTTAAAATGACCATAACAATCACAATAGGCAGCGAGAACAGGCATAGCCTGGGTTGTTCACCCATTGAAAGCTTGCCGGAAAAGAAAAGTTTTACAGGCTTTCCGAAAAGCAAGTAGGTCTCGGATGGTTCGAGTTTCGACCGGCAAGGCATTCCATAATCGAGAAGGCCTAGTAGATGACAAATGATAGGTCTGGATGTTAAGGACTGCAAGCAGATTTTGGTCTTCAGACCGGAGTAATCTCTGGGGTTGGTAGGGGGATAAGCGGGCCCTCAGGTACGCCGACCCCAGACCATATAAGGCCTTAAAACTCCCAATGGGAGTTCTGTGTGCCAAGTTTGGTTCAATTCCATCGTTAGTGGAGTTCAGAATGCTCTTTGATTGTAGTGAACTATAAATCCCAACAACTACAACTCCCAAATGACAAAATCAATTTTTTGAGTGATGGTCACTCCTTGTGTTGTGAGACGTTTTGTTGCCAAATTTGGTGGGATTTCGTTCATTGGTTCTTTTGTTTTTAAGGTACTCATGACGCCCAGAGCATTTTTATATATATAGATTATTCTTTCCCTGACCCCAGGCACAGTCCTTTAGGCACCAAATCACCGAAATACTGTTTTTTCAACTTCCCGAGGATTCGGTGACTGAGCAGCAGGTAATCATAACAACACGAATACCCCTCGTTTAGAAAATACTATACAGCGTATATCTCTATGACAATGTTTCTCTACCTGGGGGTTGCGACCCCAGGGAGGGTCGCGAGGGGGGTTTCAGAGAGGTCACTGAAGACCAACAGAAAAAAAATTATATATATATATATGGATGTAGGTGAACTACACCTCCCAAACTCAAGGTCAATGCCCACCAAACCCAGTATTTTCTGTTGGTCATAGGAGTTCTGTGTGCCAGGTTTGGTTCAATTCCATCATTGGTGGAGTTCATAATGCTCTTTGATTCTAGGTGAACTATAAATCCCAGCAACTACAACTCCCAAATGTCAAAATAAATCCCTCTAAACTCACCAGTATCCAAATTTGGGCATATCGAGTATTTGTGCCAAATTTGATCCAGTGAATGAAAATACGTCCTGCGTATCAGATATTTACATATTATTATTATTATTATTATTATTATTATTATTATTATTCCTTCAATATATTATTATTATTCCTGTTACATATTATTATTATTATTCCTTCAACATATTATTATTATCCCTGTTACATATTATTATTATTATTATCATTATTATTATTATTCCTTCAATATATTATTATTATCCCTGTTACATATTATTATTATTATTATTATTATTATTCCTTCAATATATTATTATTATTATCCCTGTTACATATTATTATTATTCCTTCAATATATTATTGTTATCCCTGTTACTACTACTACTTATTATTATTATTATCATTATCATTATCACTATTACTACTAAGCATGGGCTGGATGGCCATCCTTTGGGAGGGATCGGATTGTGCCTTTCCTTCAAGACAGATGGGAGTTAAACTGGATGGCCCTTGAGGTCTCTTCCATGGTTATTCGTGGATTTGATTGACAACGTTCACTCGTAAGAATATTCACTCTAGTGTTGTCAACGTACTCAAGTCACGCAAGAAGACAGTTCGATTGTATTATTATTATATTGTTGTTGTTGTTGTTGTTGTTGTTATCCCTTATTATTATGCTTTCTCCTTCCTGAAAAACAGATTGTAGAGAAGATCAAGCACATCGAAGCCACGAATGCGGAATATTGCCGGAAGGAAATGGAGCTGAGGGAGGAGATGCGCGTCAAAAGATCCGAAATGGAGCAAGTGTCCGAAAACATTGAGAGGTTGAAGAAAGCCTTGGAAGGAGTTCAGGTACCACCAGAAAGCCACACTTGTCTCAGATTACTTGCTCTTGGCTGTTGGGAGTTGTAGTTCACCCAATTCCGGAGAGAACTGTGACTTTCACCAGCCATGGATATGGACCAAACTTTTAGTTGGCTCTTTCTAGGAAAGAGAAGGAAGAGACAAAGAAAGACGTCACCAAAGAACTACGCATTCTATTCAGACACGGCAATGGATCATTTGGGATCGGAAGAAGGAACTGTTGTTTTCAAACAACGTCAATGGACTAAATTCTCCGAATAAAAGAAAAACTATTTAGCACCAAATAAAAAAAGAACATTATAATGTTGTTTCTTTGCAAGAAACAACCATCACACAAAGAAAAATTGACCCAGGATGTTGGGAGTTATAGTTCACCCACATTGAGAGAGTTCTAGTTCATCCCACCAACAATTGACATAGACCCGCAAACCATGGATATGGGCCAAACTTGGCACACAGACCCAACATGACCAACTTTGAATACTGGCAAAGTTTGGGGAGAAAAATTGACCCAGGATGTTGGGAGTTAAGTTCACCCACATTGAGAGAGTTCTAGTTCATCCCACCAACAATGGATGTAGACCCGCAAACCATGGATATGGGCCAAACCTGGTATACAGACCCAACATGACCAACTTTGAATACTGGCAAAGTTTTTTGGGGGGAAAATTGACCCAGGATGTTGGGAGTTATAGTTCACCACATCGAGAGAGTTCTAGTTCATCCCACCAACAATGGATGTAGACCCACAAATCATGGATATGGGCCAAACTTGGTATACAGACCCAACATGACCAACTTTGAATATTGACAAAGCTTGGGGAGAAAAATTAACTCAAGATGTTGGGAGTTGTAGTTCACCCACTTCCAGAGAGTTATAGTTCATCCCATCAACAATGGATATAAGCCAAACTTTACATACAGATCCAACATGATGACCAACTTTGAATACTGGCAAGATTTAGGAAGTGAATTATTGACCTAGGATGTTGGGAGTTGTAGTTCACCCACATCCAGAGAATTATAGTTCATCCCACCAACAATGGATGTGGACCAAACTTGACATACAGATCCAACATGACCAACTTTAAATACTGGCAATGTTTAGGAAGTGAATTATTGACCTAGGATGTTGGGAGTTGTAGTTCACCCATATCCAGGGGATTATAGTTCATCTCACCAACAATTGATATGGACCAAACTTGACATACAGATCCAACATGACTAACTTTGAATACTGGCAGGGTTTAGAAGATGTCTCAAGAAGTTGGGAGTTGTAGTTCTCCTACAATCAAACGTTTGTCCTTTCCTCTATTTCCCCTCTTAGGATTTCTTGCAAACTCCCTACTGCAGCCACAGTTTGCAGAAGAAGGTCTTCGATCTTCAGAACATCAACCTGACCCCACCGGCTTCGGACGTCCAAGCCGCATCGGTCCAAATCCTGGGCGGTTTGTTGAACTGGGTGGACGCGATGGAAGGCCTCCTTCAGGACTTGGAGTTGGATCTGCCCGCCTGTGAAAAAGGTTCTTGAGAACTTCCTTTCATTTGGGTTTTGTGTGTGTATATGCATATGTGGTTTTGCGCATCCGTTGTGATGTATTTTTTGGCTTTTTAAGTCCCTTCCGCCAAGTTTTCCAGTGTTTTTATGAGTGATGGTCACTCATTGGCCTGAGAGGTGTTGTGTCCAAATCTGGTGTCCATTTGCCCAGTGGGTTTTGTGTTCTATTCATCCCACAAATAAACATTACATTGTTATTTAGGCCTGTTTGATCAAGAAAAAATTTGTTTCTAAAATCGATTTGTAATTGGGGTGTTTTTTTGTTTCGATATTTAAAATAATTACAAAACTTTCCAAAAAAAGTTTTGGTATTTAAGAAATTTTGTAAATATTAAAGAATTTTTAGAATATTTTTGGTATTTCTTAAGAATAATATTAAAATAATATTAAAAAATATTTTAAAATGGAAAATTAACCAAAAAATGGCCCAAATGTGGACCAAACACAGGCAGGATACAGCAAATGAGAGCACACACCAACAGAAGAGTCTTTTCTTTTTTAGAATATTTTTTAAGAATAATATTAAAAATAATATTAAAAAATAATATTAAAATAATATTAAAATAATATAAAAAAATAATATTAAAAAATATTTTAAAATGGAAAATTAACCAAAAAATGGCCCAAATGTGGACCAAACACAGGCAGGAGACAGCAAATGAGAGCACACACCAACAGAAGAGTCTTTTCTTTTTTAGAATATTTTTTAAGAATAATATTAAAAAAAATATTAAAAAATAATATTAAAAATAATATTAAAAAATAATAATAAAAAATAATATTAAAAAATATTTTAAAATGGAAAATTAACCAAAAAATGGCCCAAATGTGGACCAAACACAGGCAGGAGACAGCAAATGAGAGCACACACCAACAGAAGAGTCTTTTCTTTTTTAGAATATTTTTTAAGAATAATATTAAAATAATATTAAAAAATATTAAAATAATATTAAAAATATTTTAAAATGGAAAATTAACCAAAAAATGGCCCAAATGTGGACCAAACACAGGCAAGAGACAGCAAATGAAGCAAGCAGCACTCACAGCAGCAAGGAATGAATCCAATCCCAGTTGCTAGCAGCCATTGCCAAGCCAACCCAATGCAAACTCCCTCGCCCTCCAGCAAGCTACGGGCCGCGCGGAGCCGCTTTGAAAGGGCTCGCCGGCCAATCAAAAACAGACACAGCCACGGACCCATGGTGCACTGCTTGGGAGCGCCGGATTGGCTCCCATGCACCAGCACTCCAGCAGCCTCCACCCCATTAACGAAACGAGCGGAGGCTCGTTAAAACTATGGGGGTTGCTGGTTCGATATTTAAAAACCCTTCCGGGTTTGGAAATATGTTTCAATATCGCTTCGGAAATGCCAAAAATAACGAATTAATAACGAATTAACCAATTAACGAACGAAACCGCACAGGCCTATTATATAGATACTAGCTGTACCCACCACACGTTGCTGTGGCCAACCTTCCCTCTTTCTCTTCTTCTTTCCCTCCTTCACTCCCTCTTTCCTTCCTTCCTTCCTTCCTTCCTTCCTTCTTCTCTTCTTCCTTCTTCTCTTCTTTCCTTCCTTTCCTCCCCTTTCCTTCCTTCCCCTTTTCTTTCTCTTCTTTTGCTGTCTCTCTTTTCTTCCTTCACTCTCCTCTTCCCTTCCCTCCCTTTTTTAATTTCTCTCCTTTCTTCCTTCTCTACCTCTTTCCTTCCTTCTTTCATTCTGTTTCCTTCTCCCTTTCCTTCTTTCTTTCCCTCCCTCTTTCTCTTTCCTTCCTTCCTTCCTTCCTTCCTTCCTTCCTTCCTTCCTTCCTTCCTTCCTTCATAGAATCCTAGAATCCTAGAGTGGGAAGAGACCTCCTGGGCCATCACCCAGTCCAACCCCATTCTGCCAAGAAGCAGGAATATTGCATTCAAATCACCCCTGACAGATGGCCATCCAGCCTCTGTGTAAAAGCTTCCAAAGAAGGAGCCTCCACCACACCCTGGGGCAGAGAGTTCCACTGCTGAACGGCTCTCACAGTCAGGAAGTTCTTCCTCATGTTCAGATGGAATCTCCTCTCTTGTAGTTTGAAGCCATTGTTCCCTTGCGTCCTAGTCTCCAGGGAAGCAGAAAGGAAGCTTGCTCCCTCCTCCTCCCTGTGGCTTCCTCTCACATATTTATACATGGCTCTCATCATGTCTCCTCTCAGCCTTCTCTTCTTCAGGCTAAACATGCCCAGCTCCTTAAGCCGCTCCTCATAGGGCTTGTTCTCCAGACCCTTGATCATTTTAGTCGCCCTCCTCTGGACACATTCCAGCTTGTCAATATCTCTCTTGAATTGTGGTGCCCAGAATTGGACACAATATTCCAGGTGTGGTCTAACCAAGGCGGAATAGAGCATGGGGAGCATGACTTCCCTAGATCTAGACACTAGGCTCCTCTTGATGCAGGCCAAAATCCCATTGGCTTTTTTTGCCCCACATCACATTCCTGGCTCATGTTTAACTTGTTGTCCACGAGGACTCCAAGATCTTTTTCACACGTACTGCTCTCGAGCCAGGCCCCATCGTCCCCCATTCTGTCTCTTTGCATTTTGTTTTTCTTGCCAAGGTGGAGTCTCTTGCATTTGTCCTCGTTGAACTTCATTTTGTTAGTTTTGGCCCATCTCTCTAATCTGTCAAAATCGTTCCTTCCTTCTTCCTTCCTTCCTTCCTTCCTTCCTTCCTTCCTTCCCTGTCTCTCTCCTTCCTTTCCTCTCACATCCCTGCCTCCTTTCCCTTCCTTCCTTTCTTTTCTTCTACCTTTCCTTCCATTCATAATCTTCTCTTCTCTTCACCAATCCTTCTCTACCTTTCTTCTCTCCTTTCCCTTTCTTTCCCCTGCTTCCTCCAAGACAGTTTGCAAGGGTTTTTTAAGGGTTTTGGGGTGTGTGTGTGTGAAAGGGGGGATGTGGAGCCCAAGTGGGGGGCGGGGGCGGTGTGCAGATGCTCCTGCAGTCAGGCTTGTCTTGCAATCCTCTGGTCTTGGGGGAAGTGTTGCCTGGTAGCCACGTGGGCCTCATGGATCCTCTGCGGTGGCTCCAGCTGCTGCTGGGGCTTGCCTCACCAAGCCTCCACCCCTCCATTGGGCCAGGCCTTCTCCTTCCTTCCTTCTTTCCTTTCCTCAATCCCTCCACTCAACAAAAGAAAAAGGACTCTGCCTTCCTGCGTGGAAAGGGACTCCATGGCGAGGCTTCTCTTCCCTCACAACGGTTGGTGCTTCATTCTCCTCGTGCAATGGGGAGAGGGGCGTTTGCACATGCTCTGTAAGGCATTTTTCTTTTGGGGGAGTTTGAAGTCAATTTCCCCTTCATTTTATGGGTTTTTTCTTTGAAAGACATAGATTGGATTAAAATGTGATTTGCTGCCAAATTTGCTGTCAATTTGTCCAGTGGTTTTGTTCTGTTAATCATACAAACGAACATTACATTTTTATTTATATAGATAAATAAATAAATAACCAAATTTGAGACCTGGAATTGGGGCGTCAATGGAGACGGGTTGTGTTTCCTTGACGTGAAATTTCATCTCCGTTTGGCAAAGGAGCGAAATGAAACCAGACCTCCTTTCCTTGTCAGGAATGTCCTCCTACATAAAGGAGCTGCGGGACCATCACCACCACACCATGGCCCGGCTTCAGACGATTGAGGCATCTCAGGAGACCTTCCTGCAGGAGAAGCTGAAGGAGCTGAAGGACCAACTCCAGGAGGAGTTTCAAGGCAAAGAGAAGGACCTTCTGGAAGCTGAGAAGGAGCACCAAAAGGTAGAAGTCGGGGTGGGAGTAGCCTCCTCTCTTGGCCCTTCCACATCCCCTTCCACTCACTTGGGTTTTGGTTTGGCATCTAAACTGATCAAACAAAGACCTTCTGAGAGTTGTGCTCTTATGTTTCTTGTTCCCCAAGCTCACTGTGCATAACTATGCTGGGCCGCTCCACGGGTAAAGCCAAAGACTTATCAGCACCCTCTCGTAATGCCAAACATTTGTTCGTGCAGTGACTAGGAAATGGAATGTATGGAAAACATATTATTGTCCTGCAGTTTTTACGAGGAGGTTTGACAACACACAGGGGCGGCTCAACCATTACGCAAAGTAAGCCTTCGTGGTAGAGTTGATTTTGCCAGGGGTGCTCTTGAGGCGCTCTTGGGGGAAAATAGACCTTGACGTATGCGAGTTGTAGTTACTGGGATGTATAGTTCACCTCCAATCCAAGAGCATTCTGAACTCCACCAAGGATGGAATTGAACCAAATATGGCACACAGCATTTGCATTAAATTGTATGTACAACCCATACAGTTATACCCTATTGGGTGTGGTCCAAGAATTGCTGGTTGACCTACATTACCAGCTGCACATAATATTTATTTATTTATTTATTATTTCTAGCATTTCTATCCCGCTCTTCTCAACCCCCCCGGGGGGGGGACTCAGAGCGGCTAACAAAGGCAGCAATTCGATGCCACAAATCAATAACACAGTATAAAACCATAAATACATACAGAGTTAAAACAATAGCAATTAATTATAACCAAATTATCACAACAGTCATTAAAACAATACTCAGTCCACAAACCCACTGATAGAATAATAAAACCGTAGACTCGTACATATCGTCTTGCCAGTCTATTTCCAGTCAAAGTGCTGCTTTATGTTTATTGTTTGAAAGCCTGGTCCCAAAACCAAGATTTTAATTTCTTCCTGAACGCCAGGAGGGATGGAGTCGATCATATTTCATTTGGAAGCGAATTCCACAGGCGGGGGCTACAGCCGAGAAGGCCCTGTCTCTCGTCCCCACCAGCCGCATTTGCAATGTTGGTGGGAGCGAGAGCAGGGCCTCCCCAGATGATGTTAAGTTACGAGGTGGGATGTAGAGGCAGATGCGTTCGGACAAGTAAGCTGGGCCAGAACTGTATTGGGCTTTATAGGTCAAAACAAGGACTTTGAATTGAACTCGGAAGTGGACAGTAGGCCTGGGTAACAACGGAAAAATTTGTTTCTAAAATCGATTTGTATTTGGGGTTTTTTTTTGTTTCGATATTTAAAATAATTACAAAATTTTCCTTTAAAAAGTTCGATATTTACGAAATTTACGAAACAATACGAAACGAATTCGAAACGAATACGAATCGATTCGTTAATGGCGGACGCGACCGCGCAATACGCTAGAAAACCTCCATATGGGACAGGGGGAACTTCTGAAGCTTCCCTCTCCCTCAGTTGTTGACTGTTGGTGTGATATATTATAATTTTTTTTCACTGATTAAACCATAAAACTGGCCCAGACATGCGGAAATAATAACGAAACGACCTCAAAACAATAACGAAACGAATACAATATCGAAATACGAAGCATTTACAAAACGTTTTTGAAAATTCGTTTTTTTTATAATTGCTCCAGAATGGTTCGTTATCGTTTTGTAATTGAAAAAATTAACGAATTATTAACGAATTACGAATTAACGAAACGAAACCGCCCAGCCCTAGTACAGGGATAGTGGAGCTGGCACAACAAGGGGGTGGTATGCTCCCTGTATGTCGCTCCAGTTAGTAATCTGGCTGCCACCCGTTGGACTAACTGCAATTTCCAAACTTATAATTACCATCATGAGTTTTTTCTTCAACACACACACACACACACAAGGCCCTGCTACAACTTACTTACTACCAGATTGCAGGAGAGCGTGATAACAGAGTCAAGGCTGAGAAGAAATCCATTCCTGGCCGCTTGGTATATAGAGTAGATTAGGGGATAAAAAGTGTCAAGTACAGAATCTGTAGCCAGACGAAGCAACGTTGGAAATTCACTCTTGTAAGAGTTATTATCAAGGGGAAAAGGGATTTCCACTGAAGCTTTACCTCCAATCCTTGTTTCTACATTGAAATTGCACTTGGGGTCTCTTCGATCCTTGTGATTCTGTCTACTTTAGTGTGTAAGATAGGTCATTGTTGCAACCCAGAGCAGGAGACGAGGCCCTAAGATAACTATCCACCACACTTGACTGGGAAAAAACAATCTTTTTTTAATTGATGAAAAATGGTTACAAAATAAAGGAAAAATGCAAAGCCAAAAGCCACAGCAAAATCAGCAAACATGAATGTCCATGAACAAGATCAAAAACCCAAAGCCACACTGTAAAATACTGGAACCTGTTAGCAATCCACTAACCGTACTTGGTGTCCTAGAAATCTCTCAAGACGATGGCCAGAGGAACCGGGAGAACTGCCAAGGTCTTCCTCAATCTAAAACGATGCCTGAACTGAGAAAGTCAGCCCGGCGGAAGGCACTTAAAGCCGAGGAATTGGTTCCGTGATACGCCTCCCTGCTTTGAAGCCCTTGTTTGTATTTCTTGTAATCTGGAAGACCTTCGCAAGCTGAGTGATTGACTCCTGTCTTGCCAGATCTGGCCCCTTCTATTCTCATTAAGGTTCCCAGGTGCAGAAGGGAGTGAAAGGTCATGGCTTCCCTCTGAAACATTCTCATGAACACTGGTACTTTCATTTTCCAAATCTACGGAAGTTTCTTCCTCACTAATTTCAGGAGCATTGTCACTAATTTCAGGAGCATTGACATCAGGAAGTACATTTTCATTAGCATCAGTAAATATATTTTCATTAGCATCAGGAGGTACAAACAGAGAATCAGGTTCAAACTCAGGCTGAACCCCAACACTCATCTGCAATATTTGAGGCATCTGTATCCACAAATCCATAGAAATTCACGCTACTCTTTTTTCCAGGTTTTGGAGGAGATGGTTGCCCTGGAAGAAGAGAAATGGAAGGATGCCGTTGAGGAAGAAAAGAAGAAGGTCAAAGCTCTGGAAACTCAAGTGAAACAATTGGCTGAGGTGGGTGAGACACATCTGAAAGATATAATGCATTTCAAATGGTCAAAAGGCTGGCTGACCTACATTACCAGCTGCACATACTAATTACCATCATAAGGTTTTTCTAGAGGAACAGCTTGTTCCTCTACCACGTCATTAATTCCATGTGAG